TAATGAGACTTTAACCTTTAAGAAAAATCTCCATTTCATTTTAGACTATATTGTTCCTTGCAGAAAGACTCGTTGTTTTTGCTACTAACACTGAGATGTTGGCATATGCATCTCTAATCTGTACGTATCTGATTATTACTAGTCATAATCGGTTGCACTTGGATCCCTGGCACCTGTGTATGTCTATAAAGTCATCGGGTAGATTTCAATGGTAATATTTATCACTTCTAATTAGCATGATGTAAATTTCCATGCTTCCTCCTCAAATACAGTACATTTAAAAAATTTTGATTTTTTTTCTGTGTATATATTTCTGTGTATACATCACACAGAACATCCCAAACTACCTGCTTCAACTATACACCCACTTCCCAGATGGCACCCACCCATAGCCTCCCTCCCCCCACTAGAGCCCTTATACTCTGATATTCCTGCTACTGTCTGCTGTGTTGTCGGCGCCCCCAGCCATTCCCCACTACTTGCCCTTCAGATGAATCTAGTCAGCCTATGCAGGGGTCTTTGTTTTAGGAGGGTCAGCTGTTCCTCATCTAGCAGCAATCAGTTGTCAATATTCCTTTAGATAAGATTGGGGTCAGCTGTTCATTTTCCCAGTTCTATGCTGGGTTACTATCTGGGAGTCCCTTTGGCCACCCTGGCCAACAACTCAAAAGAATGTATCTCCTATTTGGCATTGTTGCTTGTTATGTAGCCTTTAGCTATGCATATGGAATCTTATGAAATTATATTGGCCCCTTTAATCTTTGGTTATGCTTTCCTTTTGGGTGTTTAAGGACATGTAGTTGGTCCAGATAAACCAATTTATTTTAAATCTTAAGGTCGTTTGAGGATCTGTTCCTCAGAGGTCACATGGGCTTGGGAGGAGCCCCTGGCTCCTTGCTTTTACCAGTTCTGCCTATGTGAAGATAAGACAAAGGTCCTGCTTGACCATGGTTGGCTTCACTTGGAAGCATGGAGGAAATGATTCCTCTCTGTTGACCCTCCTCTTTGTAGACTGGACACTGGTTCAAGTCCATCTGGTGGACATTTTGAGAGATGCTCAGTGTCCCCTGGAATTAGTCGACCTAGGAGGGCAAGGGCAAAAACTGTCCTTTATGTCCCTCTGACCAAATTATTATAGGCCTCAAAGTATGTCTGTTAAACACCCAAGAAGGTTAGTTCCACCAGTCTGGTACTTTTAATTATTGTGTGTCATGTAGATAAATCTTGGGCAAAGACCAATTGTTCTCAGATAAACCTTACCTAGACATATATTTCTTGATCTGCTATGTATAATTTGTCAGTAGGTTGTAGGAGTAATATGGTTCCCTCTGCTTTTCAAAACTAGCTAGGCATTGTTTATCTCTCGCATTGCCTCACCCCTCCATCATGGTTTTCCCACTTAAGGTGCCCCCATTTCCCCCCTTTCTCCCTTACTAATACCCTTCTCCTATGGTCCTACCTCTCTTGAGCGCCTTCTTCCGCTTTAGCCCCTAGGTTCCTTTGTATACCTTTCCCTCCCCCTTTCCTTAAAACTAACCCAAACTTTTATCCATATCTCCCTTATTAAGGCCTGTTTCCTACTGTTCTTCTC